GGGGGCCTCCGGCCAACCAGCCACTCCACCACAGAGGATTGCCCAAAAAAAGAGAAGGCTGTCATTCAATAAATTTTAAAGTTGTAAACTTTTAAAGTGCTGTGCTTAAAGTGCTGTGTGGCATTTTCCTTCCCTCCTCCACCACCCCTCCTGGGCTACCTTGGTAGTCATCCCCCTATTTGTGTGATGAATGAATAAAGAATGCATGAATGTGAAGCAACAATGACTTTATTGCCTCTGTAAGCGGTGATTGAAGGGAGGAGGGGCGGGTGGTTAGCTTACAGGGAAGTAGAGTGAACCAAGGGGCGGGGGGTTTCATCAAGGAGAAACAAACAGAACTTTCACACCGTAGCCTGGCCAGTCATGAAACTGGTTTTCAAAGCTTCTCTGATGCGTACCACACCCTCCTGTGCTCTTCTAACCGCCCTGGTGTCTGGCTGCGCGTAACCAGCAGCCAGGCGATTTGCCTCAACCTCCCACCCCGCCATAAACGTCTCCCCCTTACTCTCACAGATATTGTGGAGCACACAGTAAGCAGTAATAACAGTGGGAATATTGGTTTCGCTGAGGTCTAAGCGAGTCAGTAAACTGCGCCAGCGCGCCTTTAAACGTCCAAATGCACATTCTACCACCATTCTGCACTTGCTCAGCCTGTAGTTGAACAGCTCCTGACTACTGTCCAGGCTGCCTGTGTACGGCTTCATGAGCCATGGCATTAAGGGGTAGGCTGGGTCCCCAAGGATACATATAGGCATTTCAACATCCCCAACAGTTATTTTCTGGTCTGGGAATAAAGTCCCTTCCTGCAGCTTTTGAAACAGACCAGAGTTCCTGAAGATGCGAGCATCATGCACCTTTCCCGGCCATCCCACGTTAATGTTGGTGAAACGTCCCTTGTGATCCACCAGAGCTTGCAGCACTATCGAAAAGTACCCATTGCGGTTTATGTACTCGGCGGCTTGGTGCTCCGGTGCCAAGATAGGGATATGGGTTCCGTCTATAGCCCCACCACAGTTAGGGAATCCCATTGCAGCAAAGCCATCCACTATGACCTGCACATTTCCCAGGGTCACTACCCTTGATATCAGCAGATCTTTGATTGCGTGGGCTACTTGCATCACAGCAGCCCCCACAGTAGATTTGCCCACTCCAAATTGATTCCCAACTAACCGGTAGCTGTCTGGCGTTGCAAGCTTCCACAGGGCTATCGCCACTCGCTTCTCAACTGTGAGGGCTGCTCTCAGCTTGGTATTCATGCGCCTCAGGGCAGGGGAAAGCAAGTCACAAAGTTCCATGAAAGTGCCCTTACGCATGCGAAAGTTTCGCAGCCACTGGGAATCGTCCCAGACCTGCAACACTATGCGGTCCCACCAGTCTGTGCTTGTTTCCCGAGCCCAGAATCGGCGTTCCACAGCATGAACCTGCCCCATTAGCATCATGATGCATGCATTGGCAGGGCCCATGCTTTCAGAGAAATCTGTGTCCATGTCCTGATCACTCACGTGACCGCGCTGACGTCGCCTCCTCGCCTGGTATCGCTTTGCCAGGTTCTGGTGCTGCATATACTGCTGGATAATGCGTGTGGTGTTTAATGTGCTCCTAATTGCCAAAGTGAGCTGAGCGGCCTCCATGCTTGCCTTGGTATGGCGTCCGCACAGAAAAAAGGCGCGGAACGATTGTCTGCCGTTGCTCTGACGGAGGGAGGGGCGACTGACGACACGGCTTACAGGGTTGGCTTCAGGGAGCTAAAATCAACAAAGGGGGTGCCTGTACATCAAGGAGTATTTCAGGCAGGACTTCACGGAGGGTTCCAATAAGAAATGGTGCACCTAAGTTATCGTTCTTATTGGAACAAGGAGGTTAGCCTGGCCTCTGACTGATACATGCCTAGATTTACCTCGCTGCACCTTCTCTGTGAGTGACTGCAGTGTGACCTAGAGGAATGAGTCCCCTAGACAGGGGAGGAGGCAAATGAGTACAAAACAAATCTGGTCTATTTCTTGTTTTGACCCACTCCATCTATCTTTTACATCTTTGGCTGGCAGCAGACGGTGCAGAAGGACTGCATGCCATCCACATCTCATGGCTGCTCGGCAGAAGATGGTACAGTACGACTGCTAGCCATCCCCATCTCTTGCCTGCCTGGCAGAAGATGGTACAGTACGACTGCTAGCAATCCTCATCTCTTGCCTGCCTGGCAGAAGATGGTACAGTACGACTGCTAGCAGTCCGTATCGCCTGCCCGCTCACCATAAGACGGTTCAGTAGGACTGACTGCAGGACTAAAGAGAATGATCTGGTCAAGTCACTCCAAATTTAGTCCCTGCGCCCATGTCTGCCCAGGCGCTCCCAGCCGACGTGGCCAGGAGCCACGCACCTGCCGCGTCTGCCAGCACCCAGGAGACATAGGGTGACGGTTACCTGAGCGGGCTCCATGCTTGCTGTGGTATGGCGTCTGCACAGGTAACTCAGGAAAAAAGGCGCGAAATGATTGTCTGCCCTTGCTTTCACGGAGGGAGGGAGGGAACGGGGGCCTGACGATATGTACCCAGAACCACCCGCGACAATGTTTTAGCCCCATCAGGCATTGGGATCTCAACCCAGAATTCCAATGGGCAGCGGAGACTGCGGGAACTGTGGGATAGCTACCCACAGTGCAACGCTCCGGAAGTCGACTCTAGCCTCGGTACTGTGGAAGCGCTCCGCCGAGTTAATGCACTTAATGCACTTAGAGCATTTTCTGTGGGGACACACACACTCGAATATATAAAACCGATTTCTAAAAAAACGACTTCTATAAATTCGACCTTATTCCGTAGTGTAGACATACCCCTAGTGACGGAGGATGTGGAAAAAGCTAATGTACTCAATGCTTTTTTTGCCTCTGTCTTCACAAACAAGGTCAGCTCCCAGACTGTTGCCCTGGGCAGCACAGCATGGGGAGGAGGTGACCAGCCCTCTGTGGAGAAAGAAGTGGTTCGGGACTATTTAGAAAAGCTGGATGAGCACAAGTCCATGGGACCGGACGAGTTGCATCCGAGAGTGCTAAAGGAGTTGGCAGATGTGATTGCAGAGCCATTGGCCATTATCTTTGAAAACTCATGGCGATCGGGGGAGTCCCGGACGCCTGGAAAAAGGCTAATGTAGCGCCAATCTTTAAAAAAGGGAAGGAGGAGGATCCTGGGAACTACAGGCCAGTCAGCCTCACCTCAGTCCCCGGAAAAATCATGGAGCAGGTCCTCAAAGAATCAATTCTGAAGCACTTAGAGGAGAGGAAAGTGATCAGGAACAGTCAGCATGGATTCACCAAGGGCAAGTTGTGCCTGACTAATCTAATTGCCTTCTGTGACGAGATAACTGGCTCTGTGGATGAGGGGAAAGCGGTGGACGTGTTGTTCCTTGACTTTAGCAAAGCTTTTGACATGGTTTCCCACAGTATTCTTGCCAGCAAGTTAAAGAAATATGGGTTGGATGAATGGACTATAAGGTGGATAGAAAGCTGGCTAGATTGTCAGGCTCAACGGGTAGTGATCAATGGCTCCAAGTCTAGTTGGCAGCCAGTATCAAGTGGAGTGCTCCAAGGGTCGGTCCTGGGGCCGGTTTTGTTCAATATCTTCATAAATGATCTGGAGGATGGTGTGGACTGCACCCTCAGCAAGTTCGCGGATGACACTAAACTTGGAGGAGAGGTAGATACGCTGGAGGGCAAGGATAGGATACAGAGGGACCTAGACAAATTAGAGGATTGGGCCAAAAGAAATCTGATGAGGTTCAACAAGGACAAGTGCAGAGTCCTGCACTTAGGATGGAAGAATCCCATGCACCGCTACAGACTAGGGACCGAATGGCTAGGCAGCAGTTCTGCAGAAAAGACCTAGGGGTTACAGTGGACGAGAAGCTGGATATGAGTCAATAGTGTGCCCTTGTTGCCAAGAAGACCAATGGCATTTTGGGATGTATATGTAGGGGCATTGCCAGCAGATCGAGGGACGTGATCGTTCCCCTCTATTTGACATTGGTGAGGCCTCATCTGGAGGACTGTGTCGAGTTTTGGGCCCCACACTACAAGAAGGATGTGGAAAAATTGGAAAGAGTCCAGCGGAGAGCAACAAAAATGATGAGGGGACTGGAACACATGACTTATGAGGAGAGGCTGAGGGAACTGGGATTGTTTAGTCTGCGGAAGAGAAGAATGAGGGGGGATTTGATAGCTGCTTTCAACTACCTGAAAGGGGGTTCCAAAGAGGATGGATCTAGACTGTTCTCAGTGGTAGCTGATGACAGAACAAGGAGCAATGGTCTCAAGTTGCAGTGGGGGAGGTTTAGGTTGGATATTAGGAAAAACTTTTTCACTAGGAGGGTGGTGAAGCACTGGAATGCGTTACCTAGGGAGGTGGTGGAATCTCCTTCCTTGAAAGTTTTTAAGGTCAGGCTTGACAAAGCCCTGGCTGGGATGATTTAGTTGGGGATTGGTCCTGCTTTGAGCAGGGGGGTTGGACGAGATGACCTCCTGGGGCCCTTCCAACCTGATATTCTATGATTCAGAGTTTCACTGGCAGTACCAGAAACAGGACGCGAGCGCCGGCTCTGGGCAGACTTCCCCTTTCACGGATTTATCGGCTGTTCCTTTAACAACTCAGGATCTACATTTATTCCTTCCTCCCCCACTCACGGGGACCGGAAACCACAACCCCTCCCAGCCACCCGTCCCATCTCTGTGCCACGTCACTGGGCGAAGAATAGATTCTGCAGCGACACGACCTGAGAAGGAGTTTGGCCAGGCCCCTCCACCCTCATGCTCCAGGGTGGGTCAGGAAGGAATCTCTGCCCTGCTTCTTGGGAAAGGGCCACTCCGTGGGGGGCACTGTGTGTGTATGGGGGAAGCCTTCCTCTGCTCTGAGCTGCTTCTCCAGGGAGGCTAGATGGGCCTGTTGGAAAAGGTCAGGGCAACATGGGCACCTTTTGTTGCCTCCTGAGATTGCCCCGCTCCCAGCTGGTCTCCGGACTGGGCAGCTCCCATGTGGGGCTGGGAGATCATGGCGGGGTGGGGCCAGGCAGCTGCAGGAGGGGATGTGGTTTGCTGGGCGTGGCAGGGAGCTGGCTTTGCTCTGACCATGGTAGATTTGAGGAGGAGAGTTCAGAGAAACAATCTGATGGGGAAGAAAGGGGCTGAACACATCACGGGGTTCCTGGGGCTGCAGCCCCTGGCGCTGTTCCTCATTCCGCTCGCACTCGGGCCTCAGGCTGGGTGGAGCTGGGCACTGGGGCGTTGGTGGCGGCGCTGAGGGGCCCCCCACTGCCCCATCATGGCGTCTGCTCTCACCGTCCTCCTCGGTGAGTATCGGCCACAGCCAGGGCGTGTGGCCACGGTGGGGATCTGAGACCAGGGAGTGTGCCCATGGGGGGCGGAGGGGCAGATCTGAGACCAGGGTCCAGTTGCTCTGGGATCTGGTTTCTAACAAGCTGTCTCCTCTCCAGGCTGCTGGCTGGCTGGGCGGAGCGGGGCGTTGGGACGTGAGTATCTGTGAGGAATGGGGAAGCTGGGGGAATTTCCACATTAGGGACGAGGGATGTGGGTGAGGGTGAGGGGCACCAGTCCCCCAAAGGGATGATCCTGTCAGACATGTGTTCTCCAGAGGTGGGGACTGAGACCTTGCCCTACTCATCACAGGGATGGGAACCTGTTGGAACAACTGGGGGATTTTGTTAACAAGTTTTCTTGGGGTGCCTGTTCTGGGAGCAGCTTCCTCAAATGACCCATATTTAGACCAGGAACCCCATGTCGCGGAGTGTGGGGGAGTCAGGGCCCTGCACCCCGCACTTCCTGCGGTTCACTGTGACTGTCAGCCAGCCAGTAAAACAGAAGGCTTATTACACGACAGGAACACGGTCTAAAACAGAGCTTGTATATACACAAAACAGGACCCCTCAGTGGGGTCCTTCTTCGGGGGTGGGGAGCCCAGACCCAGGTTCTGGGCCTCCCCCCTCAGCCGGCTCCAAACTGAAACTCCCTCCAGTCGTCTCCCACAGCCACACACCCCGACCCCTCCTCCAGCCTTGGTCCAGTTTCCCGGGCAGAAGGTGTCACCTGGCCCCAACCCGCTCCTGGGCTCAGGTTAGGAGCTGGCTGTCAAGTATCATCCCGCAGAGAAGTCACACCCTGATATCCCACCATCATCTAAAAAGAAAAGGAGTACTTGTGGCACCTTAGAGACTAACCAATTTATTTGAGCATGAGCTTTCGTGAGCTACAGCTCACTTCATCAGATGTTTACCGTGGAAACTGCAGCAGACTTTATATACACACAGAGAATATGAAACAATACCTCCTCCCACCCCACTGGGGTGGGAGGAGGTATTGTTTCATATTCTCTGTGTGTATATAAAGTCTGCTGCAGTTTCCACGGTAAACATCTGATGAAGTGAGCTGTAGCTCACGAAAGCTCATGCTCAAATAAATTGGTTAGTCTCTAAGGTGCCACAAGTACTCCTTTTCTTTTTGCGAATACAGACTAACACGGCTGTTCCTCTGAAACCCACCATCATCTAGTATCAATGCAGACAGTCAACTAGTAAAACTCCCACGCAACATTACCAGGTTAATATTCTCTACTCCCTACCCCGTCACACCTCGCAGGGTAGATCCCAATTCACCTCCTGAGTGCAGTGAAGGAAGGGCTGGATTCTGATCTCAGCCCCCCGGGCTCAATCCGGAGTGACCCCTGACTGCAGCGGGGGCTGGGCTGAATTAACCCTGGAGAACTAAAGGAATCAGAGACTGGAAATCTCCTTTCCCCCTGCTGTGTCTCTCCCCGACTGTGAGTCCTGGGGCCGGGCCTGCACCGCAGGGACAGGCAGGGCTGGGGTGAAAGGCTGGAGCGACAGACGGGCAGAGGATTGCACCAGATGGACGCGGTTTGTGTCACCCCCACTTACTTCCTGTTTGTTTGTAAATCCAGAGGGGTTCCTCCCCAAACCCTCCATCTCCGTCAGCCCCGGTGGGGTGATCCCCGTGGGGGGAAAAGTCACCATCCGGTGTTGGCATCAGCGCCTGGGCATGAGGTTCCTCCTCTACAAGGATGGAGACGGGAACCATCCGACGTACACGGACCCTGCTAGTTATGTGGCTGAATTTCCCATCCCCAGCGCCAGACGGGAAGACGGGGGCAGCTACACCTGTCGTTATAGCCACAGAACAGGACCAGCTGCCTACTCGGAGCCCAGCGACCCTGTGCAGATCATTGTAGCAGGTGAGGGGCCCAGCCCGGCACCTCGGCTCCCAGCCCCACACCCGGCCAGGCCCCCAGGGGGTCTCAGCGAGACCTGGTGCCCAGCAGATGGGACGTCCAGCCCAACCAGTGAAGGTTGAGGGGATGGAGGATATCTTGGCCCTGGATCCCAAGGGAGACCCTGACCCTGTCTCTGCCCCGTCGCTGATGCTCCCTGCTGGGGACAGGGTCTGTCTCACGCCCCATGAGGGACTCGGCTGGGGTCAACTTTCCCATCCCCAAAGTGAGCCGGGCAGACGGAGGCAGCTACACATGCTATTATCCCCCCGACTCGGATCCCGACACCCGGTCGGAGCCCAGCGACCCCATGGAGTCGGTGGAAGCAGGTGTGGGGCCCGGCTTGGCGTCTCCGCTCCGAGCCTTAGGCCCAGCCGGACCCTTGTCCCAGCAGAGGGGACACCCACCGGGACCGAGTCACTGGGGGGTTCCCCAGCCACAGGGGAGAAGCAGCTGCTGGAGATTTGGGGCTGAGGAAGGGGGGACCCCTGCCCCCAGGGGGAGCTGCAGAGCAGGGGGGACCTTTCGCAGGCAACACATCAGTTAGGGGGTGATGGGCAGAGCTGAAGGTTATAAACCTCAGTGGATAGTAGAGACTTACACAGTCCCCTACAAGTCAGGGATGGGACTGTGCACAGAACCCAGGAGTCCTGGCCCCCAGCCATCCCCTCCCCCACTCTAACCAGGCTATGATCAGGGCCCCTTTGTGCCAGGTGCTGCATAAACACAGAGTGAAGAGACGGTCTCTGCCCCTGGGAGCGCACTAAGGAAAGTGAATCTGTCTGTGCCTCAGTTTCCCCATGTAGAATGGAGATAATGACACCTCCCTGCCTCCCAGGGGGCTGACTCCCTTCCTGTGTGGGGCTCAGGCCCTGTGGTGCCAGGCGCCAGAGACCAGCCCGTGAGTCGCTCAGTATCTCTGGGGGAATGGGGGGGGGGGTGGCGCAGACACAGTGAACGAGGCAGGGATCACACACAGCATATGAGGACCCCAACAACTCGGCTGCCGAGGCCCCATGTCTGTGGGGCTGGGAGCCCAGCTCGCAGGGCCGGGATTCTGGGTCAGGGGGACTCTGGGATCTGGGAAAGAATCTCTGCCAGGGGGCCCCTGGATCTGCCCGCGCTGGGGCCGGCTGGGGAATCATAGAAGATCAGGGTTGGAAGAGGCCTCAGGAGGTTCTAGTCCAACCCCCTGCTCAAAGCAGGACCAAGGACAACTAAATCATCCCAGCCGGGGCCTTGTCAAGAAGGGACTTAGAAACCTCTAAGAAAGGAGATTCTACCACCTCCCGAGGGAACCCCTTCCAGTGCCTCACCACCCTCCTAGTGAAATAGTGTTTCTGAATATCCAACCTAAACCTCCCCCACTGCAACCTGAGACCATCGCTCCTTGTTCTGTCATCTGCGACCACTGAGAACAGCCCAGCTCCATCCTCTTTGGAGCCCCCCTTCAGGGAGTTGAAGGCTGCTATCAAATCCCACCTCGCTCTTCTCTTCTGCAGCTGGAGGCCGGGGCTGGGTGGGTGCCCGGGTCTGGCTCTCACAGCCTGTTTCCTGTGCGCAGATCCCAGCTTACCCAGACCCTCCATCTCTCTGAGCCCCACTGGGGTCACCGCTGCAGGGGCAGACGTCACCATCCGGTGTCAGGGTCCGCCCTGGGACGTGAGGTTCTTCCTGCACAAGGCTGGAGACCTGAACCCGCCGCGACACATGGACCCTGCTGGGGACGGGGCCGAGTTCCACATCCCCACCGTGGGCCGGCAGCACGGAGGGAGCTACGGCTGCAGCTACCGGCCCCGGTCAGAGCCCTTCGTCTCCTCGCAGCCCAGCCACCCCGTGCAGCTGGTGGTAGCAGGTGAGGGGCCCGGCTCCACGTCCCCGCTCCCAGCCGGACCCTCAGAAGGTCGGCACCCAGATGGGATGCTCAGAGCCAGGCTCTGCCCAGAGCCCTAGGACTCGCCTGGACAGGGAGCGGGGACAGTGTCACTGGGGGGTTCCCCAGCCAGGGGGGAGCAGCAGCTCCTGGAGATTTGGTGCCAAGGGAGGGGGGATCCCTTCCCCCAGAGGCAGCTGCAGAGCAGGGGCCTTTCCCAGGGGATGCTCCCCCGGCTGCCCCCGCACTGGGGACTCAGAGAGGAGTCAGGGCCCAGGGGCTGCCCAGCCAGCACTGTCCCCAGCCAAACCCCCCTCCCCGGGACTGACAGTAACAATCGATGCTGAGTCACGGGCAGAGTTGGATTAAGGTTTCCTGGGGCCCTGGGCCAGAGCAAGGGGGAGTCTCTCCCCACCTTTTCACCTGCCCTCCCTCTCCTGTCCCGCCTCCTCGGCCTGTGGCCCCGCCCACAGCCCCACCCCTTTCTCTCCCTTCCCCAGGGCCCCGCCCCTATTCCACCCACAGTCCCGCCCCATTCCGTCCCCCCACTGCAGCCCCGCAACCCATTTGCTACTTTCTGACCCCCCCGACCCCAACTGCAGCCCCAAGACTGGAGAAGCTCTGTCCCCTCACCCCGGCCCAGGGGCGCAGCGGGGAGTGAGAGTCCCCCAGCCCCGAGGCAGTGGCGGGTAGCGAGAGCTCCTCCCGTCCCAGGGCTGCAACGGAGGTCTTGGTGCTAAGGCTTCCCCTGCCACCACCACCCCGTGCTTCTGAGAGGAGCAGGGTCGGGCTGCTGGGGCTTCTCCTGTCCTGCTCGCCCGGCGGCCAGGGCTCTGGGGCCCCCCACTTGGCCGCGGCCTCTGGGCACTGGCCCCATAGGCCCAGTGGCTGATCCACCACTGGTTGCGGACGGTACAGGGAGATCTCTGAGTCGGTGTTTCAGCCCCTCCCCGACAGACGCTGGTTCTATTCCCACAGGGGGAACCCACCTGACCCAGCCTGGAGCGGCGCCGGCTCCCACCCACGCAGGCAGGGCGGGGTCAGGTACCGGGCTGGCGATGGGAATCTATTGAGTCACAATAGACGGAGGCTGTTCACGGGGGCAGTGACTCCCCCCCACCAATGGTTTTGGGAGGGGAGCGAAGCCTCCTGCTCAAACACGAACCTGCCACTAACGGGGCAGCCGGAGGCTTCCTCTGGGGGCAGCTGGGCCCATCAGTGGCCATGGAGAGGGGTGCCCTGGAGCTCCCTGCGAAGCAACGAGGAGTAGCCAGCATGGGAGGCGGGATACCGGGCTAGATGGGCCTGTTGGCCTGAGTCGGTGTGGCCATGAGGAAAGGGGTGAAATGCCTTAGAAATGATGGCCAGGCTGGATCAGACAGGGCCCGCTAGCACCATGCTGGGGTAACGGGGCCAACCCTGACTGATGGGGAGCGCGCCCCCTTCTAAGCTCCCTGCCCTCTGCAGCCCAGCGCCCCCTAGCGCTACAAATCCCCCAAACCTTGCTTGCTCTGACCCCACTTGATACCCTGGGGCCCCCGACATCCTCCCCATAGAATTTTTGGCTCCCTCTGCCCTGTGGTGTCCCAGCCCTTTGGGTGCCACCTGGGGTAGGAGGGGGCATGGGGGGGAATAGATCAGCCGCTCCCGGCACTCACGGCCTGCTGCTGTTTCCCAGGTGGATCCAAATCGCAGGCACCTTCCGGTCTGACCAGCCCCATCATCGCCGGGGCGAGCGCAGCAGCCGCTGTCCTCCTCCTCATCCTCCTCATCCTCGTGGCCTTCCTCTGCTTCAGAAAAACCCGAGACAGTGAGTGCTCTGCCCAGCGAGGGAAGGGTTAAACCTGCCTGTCACGGAGTGTGGGGGAGTCCAGGCCCTGCACCCCTCTTCCTGGGATCCACTGAGACTCTCAGCCAGCCAGTAAAACAGAAGGTTTATTGGACAACAGGAACACAGTCCAAAACAGAGCTTGCGGGTACAACCAGGACCCCTCAATCATGTCCTTCTGGGGGAGCAGGGAGCTCAGACCCAGCCCTTGGGTTCCCTGTGTTCCTCCATCCACCCCCAAACTGAAAACTAACCCCCCCCAGCAGGTTCCCTGCTGCAGCCTCGGTCCACATTCCTGGGCAGAGGTGTCACCTCCCCCTCCCCTCCTGGCTCTGGTTACAGGCTCTCAGGTCTCCCATCCCCAGGGCACATTCCCAGGTCAACACTCCCCCCTCCCTGCTGAGTCACATCGTCACACTGCCACTAAGCAGGGCGGGATGGGGTCACGGCTTGGATGGGGGACTGTGCCGGGAAAGCCCAGGAGCAGGGGTCATGGATCAGCAGGGGGCGCTGCGTGAGTAATCACTGGACACACACAGCTGTCCCACCCCAGAGGGGCTGCATCTTAGTGCCGGCTGAGGGGTCCCCATATAACCAGCCCCCATGCCCCACCCCAGAGGTAGCTGCATCTCAGCACCAGGCGAAGGGTCCCTGTATAACGAGCCACTGGCACCGTGCCTCTCAGGTACCTGGGGAGCTGAACTTATGGATCAATTTCGTTATAACCAGTCACTAACGAGGGAGGATTGGGGACAGGAAAAGCCCCCCCCCCCCCCCGAGTTAATCTGCCCCTCCCGCCGGCGCATACTATGGTGTTGTGCTGCCCCCTGCTGGTCCATCCCACCCCAGCAGGGATCCAGGCTCAGCCCCAGCAGCAGAGGGGACCCCTCCCTGGCACCCTCATCCCTGCTGCCCTGTGGGGGGTGAGTGGCCGGTGCTGGGACCAGGGGATCGGCTCATGGGGGATTCTGGTTTGTGTCCCTCTGCAGGAAAAGAAGCCGCACCGAGACCGAGGAGGTAGGAACCCCGGCCCCTCCCGCTCCTGATCAACCTGCCTCCGTCACAGGACTCCTGGGTTCTCTCCCTGGCTCTGTGGGGAGACGGGATTGGGAGCCAGGACCCCTCAGAGATTACTTGGGCCTGCTGACAGTGGAGGGGCACAACCCCAGAACAGCTGGAGTCACACCACACCACACCCCCCCCGGAAAGCAGTGACCCCCTCCCGTGCAGCTCCCAGCTGTTCCTCTGCACCTGCCTCTGCCCCTCCTTGTCCAGCGCAGCTCCCCAGCTCAGCTGCTCTGCAGGGAGGAGGCCTGGCTGCACCATGTCACAGAGCCACCTGGGGGTGTGTGTCATGTGACCCTGCATGCCCCCCCCCCAAAGTGTCGCCCCCAGGGTTCAGTGCGAGGCAGGATGGAGGAGCTCTCTGGGTGTGTTGGGGAATCTCCCTGTGGGTGGGGGGATATGACATTTACAGGTAGATTTTCTATCTTTTAGCACCATCCCGTTGAGGATGTTGAAGGCCCCGGCTCAGCAAGACCCCATCTGTGAGTAACACACCAAAGGGGGTACCAGGGTGGGGCAGGACCCCTGGGGAGGGGCAGGGCTTGTGGGGGCTCCACCAATACAGGGCAGGGCCTGATTTACAGCTACTGCTGGGTGGGACTAAGGAGAGGGTCCCAGAGATAGCTGGTGTCAGCTGAGCTTCTTGCCTGTCTCCCCACCAACTCCCTGGGGGTCACCTTCCCCTCCCCCTCTAGTTCAGGGACTCCCTCTGTGAGCCCCCCATTCTACCCCACCAGGCCTGAGGCTTTGTGTGTCCCCCCTTCACTTCTCCATCGGACCTTCCCAGCCAGTGACCTGTGGGGAATCCCCATCCACTCCTGGCTCCCAGCCCCCTGCTCTAACTGCTAGACCCCACTCCCCTCCCAGGGCTGGGGTGAGAACCCAGGAGTCCTGACTCCCAGCCACCCTGCCCTGCCATAACACCCTAGACTCTGCTGCCATCTCTGTGCCTCAGTTTTCCTCTCTGTAACACGGGGCTAATGACCATGGCCCATGCTGTGGGGCGGGGGAGGGGTGTCTGTGCCGGTCTCTGAGCCCCCTGGCTGGACATAGGGGGTCGGAGCTGGGTGTGGGGTCCTGCTCTGGGCCGGCTGGGGGTGCAGCTCAGCGGGTGTCTCTGTTCTGCAGACTCCTCCGTCGACGAAGGGAAAGAGACACAGACCCTGGTAAGTGTCCCCTGTTCCCCCATGGGGCCTGACCCCAACCTTGACCCACACGGGCCCTACTCACCTTGTCTGGCACACTCAGTATTTTGGGGTGGGGGTTGGGTTGCTGGGAGGGGCTCATGGGATCGCAGCTGGGATTGCAAGTGTGTGTGTGTGTGTCCCTGTCACCCCCTGTGGGAGGGGACAAGCCCTGCTCTGTGTGAATGTGTGTGTGTGGGGGTTGGTGCACACACGCACACTCCAGTGACTCTCTCCCCTCCCAGCCCCAGGAGCCCGACCCTGGCACCGATGGTCTCACCTACGCCGAGCTGGACCGCCAGGCGCTGCATGCCAAGCCGGGGGGCCCGGCTCCTGCCCCTGAGCCCACCCAGCCCAGCGTGTACGCTGCGATTAACGTGAGCCGGGGGGCCCCGCAATGAGAGCCCCTCACAGACATGGGGCGCCGGCCCACAGGGCGCCACAGACTCACTGACTTTAAGGCCAGAAGGGTCCATCGTGATCATCTGGTGTGAGCTGCTGCACATCGCAGGCCACAGAGCCTCTCTCGCCCACTCCTGTAGCAGGCCCCTCGCCTCCAGCTGAGTCACTGACATCCTCAGATCGAGGGCTACAGACTTCGAGTTCCAGAGAATCCACCACTGACACGAGTTGAAACTTGCCAGTGCCTCGCGCCCCAGGCCACAGACGAAGGTGAACCCCCCCAGGGTCTCTGCCAGTCAGACCCGGGGGGGAAATTCATTCCTGACCCCAGATACAGCGACCGGTTAGACCCTGAGCATGTGAGCAAGACCCTCCAGCCAGACACCTGGGAACGGATCCTCTGTCGTCACTCAGAGCCCTCCCCAGCGGGTGTCCCGTCTCCGGCCGCTGGAGAGATTTGCTGCTAGCAGTCGCAGATCGGCTCCCTGCCGTTGTGAGATGTCTCCTTATCCCGTCCCCTCCAGAAACGTCTCAAGCTCAGTCTTGAAGCCAGTGAGGTCCCTTGGGAGGCTGCTCCAGAACTTCGCTCCTCTGGCGTTGGGCCGTGTGTACACTACAGAGTGTTGTCAACAAAAGGCGCCACGATGACATCGTTATTGCGCATTCCCACTGCGCTTCCTCTGCCGGCAGAGCGCGTCCGCCTTTGGTGTGCCATCGTCCACAGCGAGAGCAGTGCATTGTGGGTAGCTGTCCCACCGTGCTACTCGGCACCTTCTGCAGCTAGGACTTGTGGGCAGGCGGGGTGGATCGCAGCGCATCATGGGGGCGGCTCAAGGTCCCGTGGTGCCTTATTTTCTCTCCCAGCGTCCCACGCTGTTCCGACTGCGTTTCGCGGCATTTTCCAACGGCCCCTGTTCCCGGGGCGCCCGCCACCCCTGTGCGAAAGGATGAATCCCGCCCGGCTCTCCACTGCTGTGAACGCAGCGCGGCTGGTCAGGCAGTATGTCACGAGCTCCCAGTCTGAACAGGGATCAGAGCTGCCCGAGAGGCTGGGTGCCAGGGGAAGAAACAACACCAGCTTCCTTCTGGCATCACGGGGCGGCTGCACACGGCGGAGCGTCGCTTTGGGGCTCGGGAAACGTGCGCTGAGTGGTGGGATCACATTGTTATGCAGGTCTGGGACAGGTGACGTGTGTGTGGGGGTGCGTGGGGGTCACATGTTCCCCCCGATTTCTGCCAGGGTGCGAGTTGGCCTGTGCATGGGAAAGGCACCAGCAGCGGGTCCTGCCGCTGAGACCCACTAGGTGTGGCCCAGAGCCGGGAAGTGAGACCGGGCTGTCAGCGCAGCTCTCTGCCGGAGGGGGCGCGGGGAAGCCGGCTGAGTCCCATCCCTTCCTCGCCCGGCAGCCGCTTGGTCCTGTGAGAATAACTCCTCTTCACGGGTGACACAGTTCTGGTGAACTAAGTATTAAACCAGCAGGGAAATGTATGTACCTGCTCGAGTGCGGGTCTGAACTAGCCTGCCTGGGTGTGCAGAAGGGAACTCAGGGAGTTGGGGCAGGAGGGGGGAGGCAGTGGGGGCTGGGGCGATATGGGGGGTGGGGAGCTGGGGGAGGCAGCAGGGGCCAAGGTGCCAAAATACAAGTTCGCCTAGGGGGCCATTTCCCCTCCAGTCGACCCTGACAGGGCCGGTCTTAAGTGTGGGCGAGGTGGGTGAGCAACCGCCCCCTCCTATCTGCAGTTACCCGTTGCCTGGTCTGGGATGACGAGCCGCGGCTACAGAACGTTCGGATGCAGGAAGCCTCCTTCCTGGACCTGTGTGCGGAGCTCGCCCCAGCCCTGCAGCGCAAGGACACCCAAATGAGAGCAGCCTCTTGTGGAGAAGTGTCCGGCGATCGCTGTGTGGATGCTGGCAACTCAAGACTGTACTGGTCAGTTGGAATCAGCTGGGAGAGGGAAAGTCGAGAAGGGGTGCCCCGTTAAAACAAGTGCACAGAGCCATTAATCGCATCTCATTATGAAGGACCGTGACTCTTGGCAATGAGCGTGAAATAGCAGATAGGCTTTGCAACAATGAGATTCTCTAACTGCGGCGTGGCAATAGATGGAACACATGTTCCAATTTTGGCCCCGGATGATCTTGCGACGGAGAACATCAGTAGAAAGGGGTACTTCTCCATAGTATTGCAAGCACTTGTTGATCACCGTGGGCGTTTCACTGACATCAACACAGGGTGGTCCAGGAAGGTGCATGACACACACATCTTCAGGAACACTGGCCTGTACAGAAAACTGCAAGCTGGGACTTTCTTTCCAGGCTTGAAGATTCCAGTGGAGGGTGTTGAAATGCCCAAAGGGATCTTGGGAGACCCAGCATACCCCTTACTCCCATCGACTCATGAAGTCTTACATGGGAATCCTGAACAGCAGCAAGGAGCACTTCAAGAATGGGCTGAGCAGGTGCAGAATGACCGTGGAATGTGTCTTTGACAGATTAAAAGCGCGCTGGTGATGCCTTTATGGCAGGTTAGACCTAAGTGAGGAAAACATTGCCATGGTCACAGCTGCCTGATGCACTCTCCATAATCTATGTGAGACTAATGGTGAAAAGTTTGCCCGGGGTGGAGCGCTGAGGCAGATCACCTGGCTGCTGATTTTGAGCAGCCTGATACCTGGGCTATTAGGGGGACATAAGGGGGGGCAATTCAAGTTAGGGAGGCTTTGAGGCAACCTTTTTTGATAATGAGCACCAGTAATGTGTATTTCTCTGCAGGAATCTGCCATGATTCATTAATTTGAGTTTTCTGATTTTGCCTAACACTTGCGATGCATCCCGAGCAGGATTTACAGAAAGCAAATGATTAAACTGCATGTCCCAGCAGTAATCACCACGTGTAGTACACAAATAAAGCTTGGTTCTCTTTCAGAGAGTTTGTGTTTATTAAACACCAAATAACACACAAAAAAGGCTTGGTGGGAAGTGTGGCAGCAGTGCAGGGCAGTGGAGGCTGTCATAGCCCTGTGTGAGTCCAGCTATCATTTTGGAAGCTGTCCGAAGGGATGGAGTGAACAGGATACCGAGATGTTCCGTAAAGTTCAAAGGAATGTGTGGAAGAATTTTCGGGAGGGCATGGACAATAGTTCTGATTCAGCTGCAGAGGGGGGCAAGCATGCATCTGTTCTGACTGAAGAGTGATGAGAGACTTCAGCATTTCTGTTTGCTCCTCCATGACTTTTATCATCCGCTCATGGGCCTTTTGAACGCTCTCCTCACTCTCCTTTCTGTCCCACCTTTCCATTTCTCTCCACTCCCTGTGTTCTCTTTTTATTGCCTCTGAGGATTGAAGCACCTCACAGAACATGTCCTCCTTACTCCATCTAGGTCGCTTCCCTATCTGGCGGAGGCTTCCACTGATGTGTAGGGTGTTCCCCTGAAAGCCACATCTACAGAAACAAAAGAAGCAATGCACAGAAGCATGATTGTTAGTTCACACACAGCATTGAATCATGACAGTAAAATGCACCTCTTGTAACATACCAATCGCTTTCTCTTAGACCCTTAGCAAAGCACACATCTCGGGGAACACATTAAAAAACGTGAGTTCAGCCTGGGTGGGTGGTGGGCATTCAAACTGGGGCAAAGAGTGTAGGTGATGTTTCAAGGGGAACAATGCTGGTGAGTAGGGAGAAGATTGTAAATTCTACCCCCATTTTCCACAGGCAGGGGTCACTGAAGCCAATATCACACTCCCGAGGGTAAGCAAGGATGCCAGGATGCCTCTCCAACATGCATGCGGCTTCAGACCCGCTCCCTATGCTGCTCGCCTGTGTGCCGCTTTGGTTCCTCCACAAGTGATTGCCGAGTGGCACGGGAAAGTTTCCTAGAATGGGGGAAGGAGCAAAGCAACTCTGCCCAGGAACCTTCGGGCAGAGGATCAGCGAGTACCTCCAGGAAAGTTTCCTCGAGATCTCTCTGGAGGATTCCCGTGAAATCTCGGTGTGCATCAATACACTGATCCGCCGCACTGCTTAGCTGCACAGGGGAACGTGGAGCACATGCAAACACAGCTAGTCTGGCACATTTCTATCGCTTCACCCAGTTCTACAGTATACAGCGCAAAGGACACCTGTACGTCACATGACAGAGCAGCATCAACTCAAAAAGATCACTTCCCATTGGTCTCCTCTCCTGCATCTTGCTCACCGTAGATGTGCTGCTGGGATTGGCTAGACCCCTCTGGAGTGGAGACGAGTTCCTGACTGACCAGACGACCCTGCTGTAGGCCCCACATCATCCTCCAACTTCACCTCCTCGTCCACGACTTTGTCCTTGGGGTAAGGTCCACTGTCCACTGCCTTCAGCCCGGCCGAAGTGTCCACGGGGCTCTTGGCAGTGGAGTGGGGTCAGTGCCGAGGATGGTGCCCAGCCCCGGACAATGGTTTGCCTCCCTTGTCTTCTGCTATTCCTGCCTCAGCTCCTTTATCTTCGCTCTGCCGCCCACTGTGTCCCAAACGTGGCCCTTATCACACAAGCCAGGAGAAATCGGCCCGTAGGTGTCGGAGTTCCTTCAGCTGGAGCGGAGCTGGGACCGGATGGCCTCCTCTCCCCATGCACTCAGCAGATCTAACAGCTCCCCATCGCTCCAAGCTGGGGGTTTTGCCATGTGGACCGCCAGGGTCAGCCGGGAAGATGCGATGTGAGCTCTCCGCTGAGCAAACAGGAAATGGAATTTCAAAAATTCCCTGGCCTTTAAAGGGGGAGGGACGGATGGTTGTTTACCTGGGTGCCGGGCAGCGGAGTTTGAACTGCTGACCAGAGCGGTCAGGATGGGCCTTTTTGGCCACCTCCTGCAGGCCACTTACAGTGACACAACCAAGCATGGTGTGGTCACTGACACTTTGTCGCTAAAACTTTGCCACAAAAAGCTCTACGCCTCTCCTCCAAGGGGTTTTACTTTGTCGGCTAAACAGGGGAATTTTCCCGGCGAAAGTGGCACTGTAGTGTGTTCACCTCCCCTGTTTTGTCGACAAAAGCTGCCGTTTGCCGACAAAACTGTGTAATGTAGACGAGGTCTTAGACACCTTCATCTAATTTCAAGCCTAAACTTGCTGATGGCCAGTTTATATCCATTTGTTCTTGTGTCCAAACTGGTGCTCAATGTAAATAACTCCTCTCCCTCCCTGGGCTTTATCCCTCTGATATATTGATAGAGAGCAGAGAAGTCGTATCTCCCCTCAGCCTTTTTTGGGTTCGGCGAAACAAGCCAAGCTCTTTGAGTCTCCTCTCGTAAGGTGGGTTTTCTATTCCTCAGATCATCCTCGTAGCCCTTGTCTGCACCTGCTCCAGCTTGAATTGATCTTTCTTGAACATGGGAGACCAGAATTGCACACAGTGTTCCAGATCAGGTCTCACCAGTGCCCTGTAGAACGGTACAAACGCTTCCCTCTCTCTATGGGAACTACCTGGCCTGATGCATCCTGTGACTGCATTCGCCTTTTCCACAGCCACATCACACTGGCATCTCCTAGCCATCCTGTGATCAACCCACCCACTCTCCTCCTCTTTTGCTTCCAATTGGTACATCCCCAGCTTATAGCAAAAATTCTTGTCGTTAGTGGATGATCCTGCACTTTGCATTGTTAAATTTCATCCCGTGCCTATTGCTCCAGTTTTCCAGGTCGTCCAGATCTTCGTCTGTACGATAGTCCGGTCCTCCTCCCGATTGGCAATACGTCCCGCCTTTTTGTCAGCCGCAAATTTTATGACAACCCGCCCAGTTTTTGTGCCAAGGTCAGGAATAATGTGAAACAAGCTGGGTCCCAAGCTAAGTTCCCTGTTCGCCGTGCAGCGGTGTGGCCGGACAGCAGCCCATTGAGCACCGCGACCTGCTGCTACTGGGGGAGGAGCCACTATTACAGCCGCCCGAGGGGGGCGCCCTAGGTGACCAGAGCTGGACGCAGCACTCCCGGCCTGCCCAGCGCCGAGCAGAGCGCGACTCTCACCGCCCGGGACTCGCACGCTGCCCCTCTCTTAATACAGCCTAAAGCTGCCTTTGCTTTTGGTTTTGCAACGGCATCGCATGGCTGCCTCATGCTGAGGGCGTGATCCACCCCAACTCCCTGATCCATCTCCGCCGAGCTGCTGCCAGGCCCGTTCGCCCCCACCCTGCCCTGCTGCGCTTGGTTTTTCTTCCCTACGTGCAGCACCTCTGTCGGCTTTGGAACAGTTCGGTGACGGGGTGCTCCACGCGCCACGCGGCTGGCGCCTCCTGCTGGCAGTTCTGGGGAACGGCTCGACGCCCATTCCTACAGCTGCCTGCCGTCCCTCCGCCTCTCTCTCTCTCTCTCTCTTGCTCCAGCAGCTTCTGCTGCCTCAGCCCTGCGGCCAGGTCATGGCGTGCATGTTCCCCCGTTCAAAGTCTCCCTCCGCACCACTCCGGGGATGCCACCTGATGTACTGGGGTACCACAGAGCCCACCCGTTCCACCAGCCTGGGCTTCCTCACCCTGTCCTGCAGAGCCAGGCCCTCAAGCCTTCTCCAGCACATACACACACA